GACGCTTCCTAGGTAACCAGGTTACACTTTTTCGTTTCCCTTTTTTGCCGAATGACCCTTCAATATAGACGTATTTACGTCAAAATAACGGGAATATAACAAAGTTGATAACGAATGGACCATACCAGAATCCCCCTGGGAAGACATCGCTGGCCGTTAAGTTCAGCGGCATCATGCAAATGAAGCATGCAAAATCAGAAATGGAAAACGTATTTAAAACACAGAAACCATTACTGTTCATGTACTTTGCACTGGTTCCACAGACATGTCTGATACCAGTATAATTAAACTGCAATTTTATTGCTAATGACAAGGCCCTCTTATGCACCCAATTAAGCGACTTTTTAATAGCCTTTACAATAGTCATCAAAACTGTAAAATTAATTATTATTGATGGTTTAGTAATATGATGGGCTAGGAGCTGTTATGTTATTCGACTCCCGGCACCGATTGCAAATTCTCTTTACTGAACCGAGAACAACGTGGTTCGTGACGAGGCATTTATTATTCCATTTGATGTATCGATTTAAGCACCACAATTAACTAATCTTTGCAGCAATTTTAAATGGGTCTGGTACAAATTCCTTCTCCTGTCTTAAGGATACTGGGGATAAATCGACCGGAGCTTGAAACGGACATCCCAACTAAATCCACTTTCAAGATATAGAATAGGTTCATGGAAGTACTCAAGATGTCAAAAATTTGTATTTAGCTTTCATATTAAAATAAAACAAAGATTACGAGAGATGGAAAGTCTTCTTTAGAACGATTTTCCTAAAAGCCCTTGTTTTTATGTGACACCTCTCAGTGGCATAAGAAACCGAAATATTTGAGGTTCTCAAGGCGTTGTGTACCGTCTCTTAAAATGTCTCCTGACGTCTGAAATCTTGATCCTTGTAAAGCAAATACAATACCGGTGTCCATAAATTAGCGGAATATTTGAAGTGCGGGTAATTATTTATTTACTTGTAATACACAAGAAAATTTACATATTACAAAATATACACACTACATTCAAACATTAATATTCATATGATATTCCTGTCCCCCCCAGGCTAGTTCTGGTACAGCACTTTAAAGCAGCCGACAATTACTCCTTTCACCACCTTTTCCAATTAAACACACATAACCTAACCCCATTCGACGTCAAATAACAGAAAATAAGCCTTTAACTAACCTGGGAAATGTGTAAGAAAAAGTTAACGGTGGTCATTTTTAACAACTACGCGCGATTAGCTAATTCACTACACGCCAATGCCGGTGAATGTAATGGGCTAGTTTACTATAGTTAACTTTATTTCATTCACTGAATGTGTGTATACAGCTTTTTGGGACTACCTGTATATTTTACATAAGAGCTCATTCTTCTGTCTACGACGCAAGGACCGTAAGAGCGAAGGGGCACTAAAAATGTGTGATACTTTCGTAGCTCAGTCTATATGTAGCATTCCCCATCTCTCTTCTGTAAACAGGAAACTGGATAAAAAATTTGAATTATTTTCCATTCCTTTCTCCCATTTTATTTGCTAACGCCTGCAGTCGTACCAACTTCTTACCATAGTTCGTTTCATAAAATAAATATTTTAGTGGGATTATTCTACATTTTTCTTCCATCTCACACAATAATTCCCTCCTCTGAAGTTCTTTATATTTTATGTAGTATATAGTGTTTCGTAAGAGGTGTAAGTGTCCAATTGTCCCGTCTAAGAAGATGCTATATACATTCTTATATTTCCACTTCCCCACCCACCCCTTCATTCCTTTAGTTGTACCTTCTCTTCCTCTGTTTTATTCTATTCTATAGTCATCCTGTTCCTCCTTCAACAGTACTTTTCCGGAACCCTTGTTAGCGGCGCAGAATTCAATTTAGAATTCTTCTTGAAACACAATGGGACGGGACAAAAGTATGGGATTAGCTGGCGAATATGCAAGCCCAGCGCATGTAAAGGTGAAGCAACGGTCTTCAACATAAGACTCGCGATACTTCGTTCGAAATTAAGTTTCCATGACCACGGGTACTTTGTCGCCAGTCACACACGTCTGACTTCAAAGTCTGTGACTGAATAAACCTAAGTTTCGCAAAGAGGAGATCCTATTTGGTGTCAAATATGGGGCCGTCCTTTCTTCTGCCAGGATTCTTACAAAAGCAAAGATCTGATTGGCTTTATTACCTAAGTTTCGCAAAGAGGAGATCCTATTTGGTGTCAAATATGGGGCCGTCCTTTCTTCTGCCAGGATTCTTACAAAAGCAAAGATCTGATTGGCTTTATTACGTGTATACACACACACACACACACAAACGTGTATACATTTAAATAAATATAAAATTACGTATGGCGTCTTTATTACGGAGCATTTGAATATTAATTTTGATTAGGTATCTCATTACAGTCTAATCCGTAAGAACTCAAGAAAATATGCCACTGGCATTCTCTGCTGATTATGCTGTCATGACCAATACCTGGCATTCGAATACTAAAACTTGAGACTCAATAAACGGCTTTGCGTGACTGAAAACCAGGCTACGTGACGTATGGATTATACATGTGAATGTAAGTAAGATTCATTTTAGAAACGTACAACAAAAGACTCCGAAAGTAAATTGAGGTAGGTATGGTGAGATTTCATGTTCTCATGGCCGCGAATATGAAGATGGCTGTCTACTTGGTTGTTACGCCGAGCAGTTTGGTATTTTCCACTGCAGTATTGAACGTGCAAGCTGCCTACTTAGTCAGAGCGATTGCCCTGATGTAAACAACTCTGAAACTTCAATAAAATTCCACCAGATTACAACCCAGAAGATAACCATCTTAGATTTATACAAGTAATTAAAATATCGAGAAACTAATAAACAAAAACAATGTTTCTGTTCTGGGTTGTGATGTTTGGACTGTCTCAATATTCACGGCTGAAGATGGAGACAATATGTTCCTCCGAAACGTTGGTATGTCCGCATGGCGTCACAAGCCAAAACAACATCTACATGTTCATCGCCGTGAGAAACTCAAATCTCGAAACGGAAAAAATAAACAGTGCCCAATTAAGATCTTGCAGATATTAAAATCACGTTTCCCTCATTATGCATTCATTTTAGATTCAAAATGTTTGGGTGCATTGGTTGAGACTTGTTGGTGCAAAAGGGCAGGAAGGATTGGATACACTGTACTGTACAATTACTGCCCAAGATTCAGACACATACTCTACCCACATGAATGTGATAAACATTTCTGTACTTACGAACTGAGACGGCACCTTGTAAAGCACACTGCAGAACCAGAAGCTGTGGAAGTCACCCGGGCAGTTTAGGATTTCATTAAAGTCTGTTAGCTACACGTAGGATCCTCATATAGAGTGCACATACTTTCCAAATGAGGTCTTTACTACGTTGCATTCCACACTGGCCTTTACGTTTACTTATTTCACGTTACACACTTATTCTACATACATTGAACGCACATTCCAGACATCCAGTTCTGGTAATAAACTGATGAAACTCAGTTTTAGTTATATGCAAAATGTTAAAATGGATCGATTCGAATAAAATTCAATTCGCCAGACATTTGGTTTAGACACCGAATACTAAATTTCATCGTCAAAATTTTCCCATTATATGTTCACTTTATAAGCTTCGAGCAAACACGCAAACAAACTAGGTTAACTTACTTTCACATGTGAACAGAAAATGAAACAGCACGACACTTAATAACCACACTAAATCGTATCTTACGACTGTAACAGAAACAGGCTGATACGTGTTTTTTTCGCTGCGGACAGTTGTAGGAATCCAAGGATCACAGCAAATGTTCAGTTCAACCAGAGGCACACCTGTTTACGTTGTTATACTAACCGAAAGCAACGCAGAGTGCGGTCTCTAGCTAAAAAATGGAGCCACCTGTGTACACTGCAAGTGAAATTCGAACCACGACCTTGATACTTACTCTGAATTTGTTAAAAAAACCCATGATTCCCTGAACTAACCCCTCCTACTTTCCAGTAATACCAACTATAGCGCCATTTTACTAGACAAATGAGAAACGAAACAGCGCTCAGAGGGACAAATGCGTTGTGTGCCTCTGATTACGTTCTTTATGCATGGAAAGGCAAATAGCAGGTGTGATAATGTGTTGAGTACGTCCATCAGACCTGCACATAACAAGGCAGGATGAGAAAATAAAAGAAACATTTAAACGTAGATTCTGTATGATCTAAGAAAATACATAAATTAGGGAAGTGGAGACATACAGCTCCTTGCATTTTCAAATTTTGCACAATGTGCAAGTTAATGGCCAACTTCACGCTCTGGTACCAATTTAAGAGGGGTCTGGGGAGGTTCCAGTGTTGGTCTGGATGCTGTGGCGCAGGGAAATATCTCTGACCATGCGGAAAACGAACCCCGGTCGTCCAACCCGTAGCTAGGGACTGAGATGCCCCGATTCGTTGAGCAAAAAACACATACAAATAATATTAAAGGACGGTAAATACGAACGTTTTGTACGTCTCGTATTTGTTATGCCGGACAGCACAAGGTAGAAGGATCATAGGCTAGTGTTTTAGCAGTGTAACAAGTTAGGAAATGTAGCTCAGCAATAATCATACGCTGTTCAGTTAAATATTCGTGAAATGGTTTAGGATTTTCAGAGGACTACTTTATCTCTTCTTGTACCTGAAAGGATGTATTGGAAGGTGTACACGAAATAATAACACAGTTTTTTCTTTGAACAATGTCCATATTATAATTCCCACATACACACGGCACGTCGTGAACCTTGTAATATTAATATATGTACATGGTACAGCATCATACACTTACACCCTCTTATTATTAGTAGTAATAATTATATTTAAATTCAGGGTACTACACCAGACAGCTTTCCCCCTTGAAGATACACAGACAACTGTGCTCCACGTACACAGTGTGTGTGTGTTTTTTCCATTAAATAATAGTTCTGTCACACAAAACTGAATCTGTACATACATCTCAACACCACCATCATCATGTCAGCAGTTAAGAATCATCATTACACAATAATCATTCTTTTGTTCGAGAAGCCTCACCCATAATAAGAGCATGGTTTATTGCTTTCTTATTGCAAGAAGCCATTTCATCTTGGCTGTAAAATGTGCAAAATAAGAAACGATCAGGGCGCAGGTTTCTTACTATTTTAAAAAAGCTTACATATACGACATTCTGCAAGTAATTTTATGACAATTATGCGACATCTATGAGTGAGACAGGGATGGAGAACTTCGAGGACATAGTGGCTGAATGAATATAAAAACTACTTCCTCTGTAAACAAGCAACCAAATGGGAAACAGGGGATCACTCGTTACTTTTCGTAAGGAATTAAGAGATGAAAGCAAAACACAAAAAAGCATTGGCCGCGACACTACACCACGTAATGGTTCAGTGAAAGCGTCGCTGATATTCTCTTAACTCGCCTAAACACCGATGGGATACAAGAATCTAGCTACTTGAGGAGGTGGGGCCACATAGTAACATGTGAAATCGACAGAAACTAGGGCTATTTTTTAAATATACACACCCCGCGTAACAAATAATGATTAAAATAAATTTGAATAGTTTATATTTTCAGTTTTAAACTTTTATTAAGGCCCACAATCATGTTTGAATTAACTGAAAATAGCTTCTCAGTGTAAATGCATATATTGTCAAGACATAACACGCATAGAACTCCAGTGAAGGTACGAGGCGGGGAAACAGATCTGGTCAAATTCATCGTCGCTTCTACTTTTTATACTACGAAAACCTCTTCGCGCTACAGACTCCCTAGTATTTTGGTGTTCAGCTTCACATAATCGTTTCCACATAAGTTTGAATTATGCCTACTTTTTCTTTTATTCTTTGCCTTCAGTAACAGACTGGACGGTTTACGCGCCCACAAAAATTCGCCCACGACAAACTGTTCCAATTTCTGAGGTGAAACATGCCTTTCTGTATTCCTTCATCGCTTTTACAGTTTACAGGGCATTTTTCCACGTAGATTCAATGTAGTATGGTTTAACATAACATTTTGGCAGTACAATTTAAGTAGGTTATGATTTACAAATCTGTACATTTCACCCCTACTTGCTACAAATAATTTACTACACAAATTATTCCCTACATTTTCAACATTATTAAATTTTCAAACACCCCCACCGTCTAGTGTATTACCAAAGAGCGTAAAATCTCGGTACTCATCACTGTTTCATTATCACGTAAATTACGGTTTATGAGTACGCACACCTACGGCGGGCAGACACACAGATCGGCCCCTACACTCAGTTACGATCACACAATCCCACTATTTTGATTTGACTTCCGTAAGAACTCGAAGATAAAAGCAGAAACAGGATATCAGTTGTGATTCGAATGTTAAGTGTCTCACATACACGAGGCCATGGTGGACCTAGGGTCACCGTAAAATCAGCGAAGATGAATCATATTCAGTGTTTATTAATTTATGAAGTAATCTGCAACATTCAACGTACATGCTTCGTTTTAAATTAGAAAGGTGTTCTTTTATCGTGATATTCAGGGCCGTGGAAAAGGTGGAATTCTCGCATGGCGAACGACTACAGCGTGAGGTCCACAGAGCTCTGTATCGCGTCGATCAAAACATATTTTGAAACGTTCGTCTTCTTTTCCTTTGCCCGCAACAAATTCAATTTTTTTTCCGGTTTAGTTTAGTATAGAGTAAACCGATACCTGAAAAGTTAAACTCGTCCAAGTTAAAAGAAATAAATAAATAAATAAAATAAAGAAATATGGATGATAATGGTGGCCCAGGGTTCACTGTCAGCCAACAGTACCAATGCACTGTTAACAACTTTGGGACAATTCGTCATGTCTCAGAATTCAGTACAAGTAGAAAAATGTATAAATTTTATATAGCAATAATGCTAATAGGGACGGGTTTGCAATTGAACAGAAATGGATTTTGATATTTAATACCTCAAGAATTTCCTGTACCTTAATAAAGAAATGCGTTATTTTACTGGCCAAAATAAACAATGCGGCATTCTGTGACACTATGTACACTCTTCAGCAAAAACATTATCCCACAAACGGAAACGTGCTTAAGTATACACCTGTGTTTCTGGATACAATGTGACATGGGACGTGGGGGGGAAGTGGAGGGGTCTGGTGACGTCACTGGGCTAATTGTGATTGAAATATAGGCCGAAAAATTCCAGTGAGGGGTGATGGTGCGGTTCGAAAAAGACGAGGTGAATTCTGATATGTTTTAAGATCTCTTTCTTAATTGTCATCCACTACTTTTAAAACGAACTACTTTATGATGCGGTTCTATATACTGTACGTATACGTAATATCAATGTTACCAACTAAACCAAACTGTGTGCAGCTGACACGTGGTACGGTACAAACAATTCGATTACTTTTTTTTTATAAACATATTTTACGAGCAGTGCAAAAAGACCCAGAAAGTCATCAAGTTTTGTTTAAGATATATAAGAGGTGATGATACAGTCCTCTGTTAAACAACGGGAAAGAATAATTTATTATATAATTAACATTACTGTTATTGTGTTTAAAATTATGCTCTTATCACCATGTATGCGAATGGGGGGGGATGCAGTCACAGAAGTACATGAACATAAATATTACGAGCGAACATAATTTTTTTTACTAAACAGGTTTCATAAAAATTACGCATCTCACTGGTCAAATCAAATGAGAATTTATTATTAACAAAGCCTCCCCAAAAAAAGAAACAAATAAATGTACCCCAGTAGCTATTATTGATTTTCTCAAAATAGTTTGATGCAATGAAAAAGTAAATAACAAATCTGAACACATGTGATGCCTATTCTTTTGTTCCAATTCAAATCACAGAATGCAACAGGAAAACAGAGCGACGAGAGGGTTATTGATTAACTGCTTAATGAACCGCCTTTAAAATTGCAATTACCATGGACAGTGAGGTGGCAATGAAGGAGCAGTGTGGGGGGCGCAGTCGCTATAATAATACGTGACAGTAACAACATTTCTACGTCTAAATCTATGTATCACAACGGTAGATGTTCTCGACTTCAACGCCCAAGCTTTAACGTGGGGACAACAGAAACGTCAGTAACCGGCCAACACCTGCCGTGGGAGTCGAGTTACATATCGAGAGAAAATTATCGATTTCAGTTCATGGCCTGTGATCACAACAGAACACCGTATTTAGCTAAATTCCGATATCATGACACAACCATAAGCTTCAATCTCACGTCGACCGTACATTTCATAACAGAAAACGCAAAGACCTTCAAACGTAACCTCGATATAAGAGAAGGTGTGCAAGTTCAATCTTTCGATATTATCTAGATAATGAAAACAGATTCGACGATTAGCAGCATTACTTTGTAGTAGATAAAAAAAACCCTTGGGCGCTCATTTAAACAAAATGTGGCAGTGAAATTATTAGGACTTCCCCCCCCCTCCCCCAAAATACTTTCGACATTAAGTATCTGAACTTTGCCATACATAAAGTTTAGATATTTCTTTAAGCAGTAAATAAATACCAAATTCTTTAGGCTTGAAGATTTCTGTGGCATTTATAGCAATTCCACTTTTATAAATAATGGCCGGCGAGATCACTGATTAATTTCGTCGGACCGTGTTAAGAACTGGTCTCTGCAGAAAGTTATACGCGACGTCCTCACGGCAGGTGATACCTCACACTCCCTGCGTAATTCAATTCGCAGTCCCCCGCACAACGCGCAGGCGCAGTTGACTACAGCACTTATTCACAGTGAAATTACAGACCGTTTGAAAACATCATCCGACCCCTACGTAAAGAGGCAACAGAGAAGAAACGTTGTCACCTCCCAAAAATGAAACTTAACTAATAATAATAATAATACAACGTTTGTATGCATATGGGAGTGTTTAAAACTTATGTAAGAATGTATAGATACGACAAAAGTACTGAGTCTCGAAAACAAACATAATAATAATGAACATCAATTCCTTACATTATCAGGGATGTAAAATACATAAAATATTAATGATGACGTGATCATACTTTTATATCATATGACATAAAAGTGAAGGAACAAAAATTACTGATGCAAATAAATTACTAGGAGAGTAATCATATGTAAGTCGATGATGACCTTAATGCGTTACGTTCTAAACTTCGGCCATCCTACTGAAAAGCCTGTAACAATTGTGTGAGGTGCTGGCATCATATTCCAGCAAGACGACACACCAAATAGCAGCTTCTTACGTAATCACGCTAAATCCTTACAGATAGCGTTTTTATAATTTCTTGCGATTACCTATTTCCTTTCTTCTTGTCTGATGAGACTTATCCGTTCATACACTACATGTCATTTTAACAGCTTCTATCATAAGAAGCTTTTTAAACATAAACACTTACAACTAGTATTTTTGTTTTCCTATAATGTATGACAAATGCACACACAAAAAACACAAGCATACATTGTTTTCAATTACTTGTTATGCTTCGGTTTCTGGTTATTATTACATTATTATTATTATTTTCCATAACAAAGAGGTAACGGGTCCTATTCACTGTTGTACAATTAATAACATACATTTTACATATTACCATATGGTGAACAGTACATTAACCACAATAACACGTGTTAGTTGAATTGCATATATACCACTTACTGCATGCCTAGCAAGGAAGACATGCCCAGCGCGGACAAATGTGTGTATTTCTGTGTGTCGTGTCTGTGTGTGTCAACTATGTTTTAAAATATTTCACCAAATACTGATCGCTTCATTCTCATTTTTAAGGAAGAACATCCTCTTGTGAACTAGCTAGTCAACTTCAACCTCTGTCCAGAAAACAAATCACGTAAAAAACTGCATATGAAGGCAACGAAACATGCCACGGACTTAACCTAACGTTCCCATGTTTCAACAGAATCCTTACCAATATTACGAAAATTAACATAGATCCCTCGAGGAACGTCTTATGGGCCCTTTCAATGGTCCTCAGTGCGTGCCATTAACGTCTTTGTATGCTAAAGCATCTTCCTGACCAAATGCTTTCTTATCCGGTAGACAATAACAGCGCGATCATTTGATTATTCAATTCGCAGAAATGGAACGCCATCTACCAGTTCTTACTGTCCTTCACGCTAACCAGTCCTGTTTGAATGAGGGTGTGCACATTAACGGCCCCATAAAGTGGCTAACCTGTCTATACCCTTCAATCTATTTCTGCTTAACAATTCATGACGAGTTATTAACATTTGTTATTGAAAATAAATATGAATTTTTAAGATAAAAATTCGAACGTATATCTGAGTAGGCTCCCAAAACCAAACACGAAAACGTCACTTATCTCAGTATTTCGAATGATAAAGATGAAATGATCCCGAATGGAACGAAAATAAGGTTAGGTTACCCCGAAATGTGTCCCAGAAGGTGATTTCCGTGGCACGAGAACTGAAACAAACGGCACACAACCGCCATCTGGTTATAAATTGGACGTCTTCGTCTATTTGCAGATCTAAGTATGAAGATTCCATAAAAGATTTTTTTTTTCATCGCTAATCTTAATACGCATCCATTACGCGAAGCTTCTTTTATCCAGACACTGCACTTTTTACAACAAATATTACTTTATATAACATTTAGCGACGTGCAATATTGTTGAGCGTCCAAAACTCAGCGAGTACTGTAAAAATCTCCCAAAGATTAGACTATCGGGGACACTGGTATGCTCTTCAGAGACTGGATTTCAAAACATCTAACTGTAAAGCGAGGCTTTCGGGCGTTCGAAACAGACTGGCACAGCAAAGGCAGCATTATCTACAACAGTAACGACATTTAGTAGGGGAGGAAAAGCCAAAACGTCACTTTCTTGGGGCCCTAGAGGGACGCTACTTTGAACAAGTTTAAAACATTATTGCTTTTCTGAATATCAGTCTGTACGAAGAACAACACATACACACTCGCGCACACATACACGAAATGCACTCTTTCTACGACATTTTGCCAATAAAGTAGTAAGTATATAATATAGTTATATAAAAAATCTATGAGAACTATGCAGCCCACGTTCGGATAAGTAAGCGATCAGCATTTGGTTTTTAAAAACTGTTTCTTCTACATTATTAATATAATAACACATCATCAATACCAACCTCAATAGTAATCTTAATCTCTTTTCAAAGAAATATCCCTTTAATAAAGGATTCATTTGCATATTCATTTCTTAACAATTTTACGGTATCAAAATACAGGATTTTAAGTAAAAGTTACAGTATTACTTAGTGTATTGCTTTGAATTTGCCTAGTGATAAAAATATTCCTACTGCAATGAAAGATGCATTGAAACAAGGAAACACGATTTGTTCTTATTTAAATTGCATTGAGACAAAATACTCTGGCAAACTTTCGAGACTCCTTAAAAACAAGGAAACTGGAGACGCTCGTCCATACAGGAAGTCACATGATATTCTCATCCTAAAATTATACAAGTTCACTTTTTAACCTAACAATAAAAAAACAACGCTCAACTAAATCGGCAGGCCTAACAGTATAATTTTAATCAACAGTAATTAGTTACTTTCGAGGAAAACGCTATATTTATAACCATTCCCTGATTTTCCGTATTTAATTTAAGAACTCTGCTTCATTTTCTGTTCTATTGCTCCTTGTAAACGATTTCAATTAAGAATAATCCACTTATTTCATATAACCCTCATGAAAATGTAGAGGTTTCTATTCTCATAAGGGTCGACCAAACAGTAATTAATACAAGAAATAAATTATTTACAGCACACTGTTGAACGTATTAATGAGAAAATACAAAATCAACAAACAACATGAGACCACGCCATATCTCATTAATTCAAATGGCTACAATAATAATAATAATAATTAATAGTAGTAATATATTAACTAATGCAGTCACTGATTATCGTAGGACACTTCATTTTATCAATGTATATATAATTTTCTTTTTTATATATAATATAGATATATTCCATTTTTATTTTAGCTACCGACACGTTAACTGCTACATTTCTTTCGCGATAAATCTGCTCAAATTTGTTTTTTTTTACTCTAAAACGTCGTGAACTACTGAGTAAAACAAAAATACATGTAATCATAGGCCACACGCCTTTCAATAATATAATATTATACCGTTTTTGTACTGAGGCTTTTTCCGCTTGTATTCGACAAATCCAATCATCAACATTACAGTATGACCCTTGGTAAGGAATAGTTTATGCATCTTTTGTTCACCACGAGACAGACCGCCGACTATCATCCGTCGCTATGCGGCGAGAATGCCGTCCACTCTTAGCGTTCAGCGTCTCGATGGAAAGAACATCCCGTATAAAATAACACTGTACGGAAAAGAAAGTTGAATAAAACGGCAAATTTAAATCCATGGCTCGTCAGATTCTATGTCTTCAACGATTATTACAGAATTATGACGTAAGAACTGAAGTCACAATACGTAAATTAATATTATTTGTTTTACGCCATTTTTTATTCACGAAACCTATAATCTTTGCACAAAAGTACGAGAAAAAAAATTATGTTTCACTCCAGTCCTCATAACATGAAAATCATTACCGGAAAGTTCCAATTTATGTACACGAGCAACGAAATTCATTTCAGTTGAAAACAAAATAAAAACACGAGATTCATGCGCAAAAAATGCTCAGTGGAACCGCCTTCCCAAACCTTATAAGCAGTTATATTTAATATTATAATTATTGTAGTACGGAGTGCGGCCCGCAAAATGTCCAACCCTTGCACCATTCATTGGAGTTTTCAGACTCGCACGTCAGAGGGCAGTAGAAGAAAAAGAAAGCATAGAAACAATTTTTCCTGTTCTTCTCCTGCTGGAAACATGGCTATCCATGTGTGTTTCATATCTCTAACTCTAAACAATTATTATATCTACGCTGTATAATCCAATAGTACATCTAAAAGGTAATTTTTTTCACTGAAGCTACATTTTTACTATACCTACTTCTAAACATATTATTAATCTATATATTTTTTTTAGTTTTATAGATTCTGTACATACAGCAGTTTTTCTTTTTGTTTTCTTGCGTAATTTGTTTTTGACAGCTGCCTATCATGCGGTTTGGGTTTTAATGGTAGCCTATTTTAATACATTCAATAATTATATATACAAATGCATAAACGAATTAAAATATAGATGTATATATATAAATGTAAAATATATATAATATTGTTTAACGTGGTTGCAAAATGGTGACCAAAAAATCCTTCCTTAACTTACAGTCCACTGTCATCTATACGATGGGCGAATGGATTTATCTCGTAGAGAATGAAAAATAAAGGTGAAGTTACAGAAACAGCCAATAGGCCCATATGGTCGCTGTAGTGCCAAAATTAATCATGCATCACAATAAAATAATGCGTATCTTGTGAGTGATCATAAGAATTCATCTTATGTTGCCACATTTGGTCCGTAACGTACAAAATATATTTCGTGTAATTTCATCCCTTTTGTCTTCCCCTCTTTTGAGATGGATACCCTGTAACCTATACGGGAGGCAATTTAATAACAAGAAAAAAATATAAAACGATGGCCTGAAATGTTTTCTAGTCATCCTAAAATAGTTTCGACAACTGTTTAATCCATGTATTATTATCGAGACGTACAGAAATTCCTGTAACAATATTTTTCTTTCATAAAATAAAATCAGGGCCGAACCATATGAAGCAAAACAAGTAAATTAAAACAGCGGTACACCAAAGCATGGATATTAGTGGACGAACAATTAGACGCGATACGGGATCAGCAGAAGCGAGCAGCGCTGCAGTCGCCCGACAAACATCGAGTAATTTTACAAACAAAAAATGTTTATATAAGCATATATATATATATATATTGTTATATCCTCTCGAGTTTTTTTGTTGAAATGTACCATATTGAGTAATGCTTAATATTAATATTTATATATTTCTATATTATAGATAACGTCCATTATTATATGGGTAATGGTACAAGACGTTTGTTAATGCAATTCACGTACAGCTATTCCGCCGGAAAATATAGTTTCATAGAGCAGCTGAAATAAGTCCTTTCTTCTTTTAGTGGGCATTTATATTATAATTACTTTCCTTTGCAATCTTCCGTTTTAATCCTGATGCATCTTGTATTGCCTTTTTTCATTACCTCAAATTCTCCATGTCTTTATTTACAATTTATTATTACTCTCCTTTTGAGGTTATTTTCACTACCTTGATCAACGTAGCATGACTCGCGGCAGAATACTGCAGAAACTGATGTAGTTGGTGGTAAAGCGGAGGTTATCAGGGGTTAGTAAAAGCACAGATTTCACTTGTAGAAAGTGATATTGTTGCATCTTCTGTTGTCACAACTTGTATATACCATAGCAGGTGAAGAGGGGAGTTAACTGTTGACTGTTTGTTCTTAAAAAATATAACACCAGATAATTTAAAAACCGAGGCAAACGGACACATTTAAAGTTCACAACAGACATCCGGCGGAAGTCAAGTTTCTTGCTTTGCAGGCCCCCCTCCTCCAATAAGAGGATAGGACGTGTCACATTCATAATAATAATTATTATAATTAATAGTAATAATATTTATATATATAGTTCAGTATAATAAAAGTCATCTTTACTCATCGATTTCTTTCGATTTCATATTTTTCACTGTTGACCAACTCAGCTAACAGGGGGCAGCAGTGACCAAAAGAAGAAAACAGATGAGTCGTGTTGCCGCGTGTCCACAGAACCTGAGTTTACCACAATGATCCATACCTGGGAACAAAACACAAACATGCATCCTTATCTGATCGTCCTGCTAACACGGATAAGTTAAACGCAATAGAAGTTCGCTATGATAAACAGGACAAAGATGTTTTAATTGCACGTTCGCGATAAAACCTAGAAACACCCAAATAAGCATAATGATCAAGTTAGGTTCTGTCAAATTCTGTACTAAGTTCTTCCTGACAAAATGGCTGAAGAGTAAACCGGTTAATAACTTAAACTTTAGTCAATACTGCTAAACGTATTCAATGACGAATGCATATAAAACTGAGATAAGTTTATTGAGAAAAACAACGCGTTTGGTTCATACAATATTAGCATTTATTACACGTATAACTCAAAAATTTAATAATCACTATGACAAATGTTAAAGTGCTTTTGTTATCAAAAGGGCACAGACCTGCAGACCGTAAGAAGTTATTTCACATTTACTGCAAACACATATTAAGGCACACGATATGGAAAGTTCTTCTGTTAAAATGTGGGCTATATACATCCTGGTGTAGATAATTTTAAAATGTTTTATCCATCTCTACTAAACGCAAGACATCCGCGAGCCTGAGCTACGCAACTGTAAGAGATAAGGATGATTTAAGTGAAAGGTAGAGCAAGACGCCTTCATGCGTTACCACTTTCCTCCCGGCCTCGCACATCAGATGCTTGGCTTCCATCGGGCCAAGGAAGCTTGGAGATATCTTGCGTCATGCATTAGTCGAGGTAAACAGAGAAACGTCTGTATCTAGTATCTAGGATACACTTGCTGGTGACAAACTGCTTCATGTCACCAATTATGCAACTACAGAAATACATGAAGAGAAAGTAACTTATGAAACAGGCTGTAGCTTACCTGTACATTAGCTGATGTGTCAGCCTCAATGATAGCCGTTAGTGAAAGCAGCCGGGATGAGGGGCCCCTGAGGAACGAAACAATTCATAAACCACATAAGCCACCATTGCAGTTTCAATTTCCTTTTCCATACTCTCTCTCTCTCTCTCATATATAATATAATGGCGTTAAATCCACAGGGTGGCCCATAAATCTCTTTACAGGAAACACAAATCGCAAGGAAATAATGACATTTGGGGTTCACACGGCGGCAAGTATGGAGATGGCCGACTTCTGGATTGTTGCGCTGTGTAGTCCGGTGAACATTTACCGACGTTTCAGAGCTGTTTGCTGCCTCCATCATCAGGGCGATCGCCAGACTATAAGGAGCGACAATGAAGGATACAGCCATTTCTATACAATGAAATAGCCCCATACAACTTAAGTGTATCACATATAACAAATGTTTAAATAATTTAACGACGTGTGATATTATAAAAATATTACATTACCCATTTCGGCATAATTGCCATCATCAGATTTATCTATAGATATGGTTAACATTAATCTTTAGTATTAATTACAATATTTGTTTGGAGGTTTACGTGAATTTTGGCTGCAATGCAGCAAGTTTGATGTTGACCGTAACTCTAGATTCACCTGATGCAGGTAAATATGACAAAACGAGTAATGTAATGTTTATATAATATCAAGTGTCGTTAAATTCCTTAAAGATGTCACATGATTATATATACTTAAGTTGTGTTGACAGTAAACTATTTTCTTGAAATTTGCATGATACAACCACAAGGGATTCTTTACAGAAGTACTTTTCTTCATTTATTTATTGACAATTTTCGTACGCTTCAGTTAGCCATACTGTTCTCTGCAAAAATTTATCGTAGACCTACTCATACTGCACATTTTGGGGTTTAAAATGTCGTGGTGTAGTTGCAAGTCCATAGAAGCAGCCAAAAACCTACAAAATATTCCCATTAATAAAACTAATTTATACACGGACCACATTTACTTTAGCCACATATTTAAATTAACTCTACACAGTCTTCAAGATAAAATAATTCTGTTTTATCTTTTCTGCTTTAACGTACGTCTATGAGTGTTTTATACAAAATATTACACAAACGCCTACGCTTCTAAGAATGGAACATTATTCGCGCGCTGGTAGATTTTTGAATGGGTGTGTCATAATAACATGACTGCACAAGTTCGAGAAGCGTGTTCTAAGAAAAGGTTATACGCCAAACACATAAACAGCACATAATTTATGATACAGACTGTACCTGCGATTGATCTCTGGGCACTGAGCAATGTAAATGGGTGGAAACTGCCACACGATGTAGGCCTACTAATATAATTGCACTACTTGTTTCGTGTGATTTACTGTTATTGCCTGGCGCATGAGGGTCAGGGGTGTGTGAGAATCGCCCTTTTGTCTGACCAGCGCTCGTTTCTAGCAGTGGAACCATGTAACTAATACCACCTATCGCCATCTGACTGTGGCGATATCAGGTACCCTTATACGATTAACAAATGAACGGAAAATCACAATAGTTCTTTCTGGTAAACATATTACCGGTTGGAAGACAAAAAAACAGTTTATATTAGGAACCAAACTATTTCGTCTGTCCTCCACTTCATGTTCGAAACTCAAGAACTGACATTTTTTCGTGGCTTCCTTCAACCCCTGCAGGTAAATTAACTTAAATTAGGTCACAACAGCTTCTTTCCATATCCTTAAAATTCGCTGTTCTCTTATCATTAGAAACTATACAGCCTGAAAATAAACTGTGTAAGTATTTCGATGATACACTGTACAGGCTAATCTGGGTTGTTTTCTTCCGAATGTGTAATATGACGTATAACTCTACACGGATCTTTAATTGAACTTTACTAATTTTTCTTACAAACGTATTAAAATTTTGCGTATGAACTCACTCAGACCAACAAATTATAACAAACATTTTACGATATGGTGGGATTTTAAAGACGCAGAAATTAATATAATTTTGCTTCTTATACAGTACTTATGCGGTGCGATCAGCTTCGTAAAAAAATGACTGTCTTCTAGGTTTTAGGACAGTGCACTCTGATAGAAGACGTTTCACAGGTGCTTGCTGCAACCATCATCAGGCCCCTGATGGTGGAGGCAGCAAGTAACTCTTAAACAAACGTGGAAACAACGTTAACAAAGCTATTTTGCTTGTTCGATTAAAATCTCCACAACTCAATGACAGTTTATCACACGTACAATTCACAAGAGTTTTGAAATTAGACCGAACTGTCGTGAGGTCCCGTACAGCAGAAAAATACCGGAGTTCGATTCAACTGAGCACATTTTGTTCACGGTTTACAGCTTCTGTTGGTATACTGAAGGTAAAGAATGTTGGGGGTATGCCTACCACAGCCCCTGCGAATTCCACATAAAAATGTAAACGCCACTATTTTTACGAAAACTTGTAGGGTAGCAAAGAATAAATATATTACGGTTTATGTCAGGTAAAAGTATCCCTTTCCCTCACACACAGAGGGAGAGAGAATGAAGGGTCTCTGTTGAGAATGCGAGGGGAAAACACTTTGGCCCAGCTGCAAAGCTCAGAGCGTACCGTTCAAAACGCAACCCAGAAAAAATTACTTACTAGTGTACAAAAATTAAATGAGAAACAGGTCAACCACCACGTAAGACTTGAGTCAAGCTATTCATAAGTAGAATGTGTGTTCGTTGAAATTAACTACGCATTAAATGAGAAACAGGTCAACCACCACATAAGACTTGAGTCAAGGTATTCATAAGTAGAAGGTGTGTTCGTTGAAATTAACTACGTCCGCGAAGTATTTTGTGCTACAGAACAAGACTACATATTGACACCGACTGCTAAGAAAATTTCGGATCACAGAAAGTGATCAGTGCTCACTGAGCGATAGAATAGCTGAAATTACGACCGTGCATCAGCAGCAAAAACGAAATACGAATGCAATAAATTTGTTTCGATGTTCTATGCGTGAGAAGATTCACGTCAAGTGTAGCTAAGCGTTGCGGTTTAATTACAGTTTCCAAAGTCAGAACTGCGAAAAAATCAACACAGGAATTTGTTCAAAGAGACTATAAAATTCGACGTGAATGCCACCTATGTGTAAGAATAATAACGAGTAAGTGTAAATACTAAATAGCAGTGTCGTAATGCTCCGAGCCATTAACCAATTTTAAATTGTTTTATTTGATAGTTTCGATGACGCAAATCTACTTAGAGTGCAAGGAAAACCTGCTACTTTCGGAAAAGTCAATGAAACATAGTCTCGTTTGTATATTACTTCGTTAGTTGCTAAAAGAATTTAAAGGGTTTGAGACCCGATGTTCTCGCAACAGCGAAGATGATGTTGGCCTTCTCGGCTGTGTAAACTTTTGCGTACATACCAACGTTTCAGACGAAAACATTACCTCTATTGTACGAGCTGAAGCTGGAGGCAGTATGTCCTCCAAAACGCTGGTTATCTACCTGCAATTCGTCACGATCTTACACCCCAGGAAACCGACATCGATACTTAAACGGTGGCTTTAAGGTGAAAACTAGTGTATGGCAGATGGGAGTCAACCCCTTGAAAGAACTCTTTTTGGCCTCGGCTCATGTCATTATTTTCCACATGGGAGTACTTTGCCTTAGCGCCGGAAAGCTAATCACACGCAACCACCACAACCTATCAGACTACAGAATAACTTTACCGAGAGCATAATTTGTTATTCCAATTCTATAACAGTAAAGCTAAAAAATGTCAATGTTCCTGTGCGTCGAAGCATCACAACTGAGCGGGAGAATTGTGTTTTCTCATTTTCAGCCTCCGCATTAGATAATGTGGTCATCTTCACAGTCGAGGGTAACATTCCCCGACAGGTCTACCGAGAAATTGGGGCGGTTGAGACTCGGTGGTGAGGAGAAAAATCTCTTAAATTCCTGGGAAACGTACACAGTTGTCCAGCACGTATCTGCTCATTTGCTGCCTGTGCGACAAAACTGACGTGGCCCGTGCATACGTTTGCCAGACAGTAACCACGGATACTTACTAACCTCGAGATGGCCACTCACCGCAATAGCCGGGAAGCCCGACGGCTGTGGGCTGGCTGCCTGCACGTAGCCCGCCACGCTATCGGCCGCACTTGAGCTGTACATGTCGATAGGACCAGGCGAGTTGGCTGGGGGGAAGCCCCCCCG